TTATCATTCCGAGATTTTCATCCGAAAACTTCCCGGAACGGGTGTCTTCTATCGAGTCGAATCGCAGAAGTTTTCCCCCGTGTTCTCGTTCTTTCCCAAGAAACCACCCCTAATCGAATTACTATTTTCGAGAAAAATTCATCCACGAGCGAGGAGAAGAACAACCCGTAGGTAGAGAAATCCCGACAGCGGGGTTGTCTGAGGGTACAACAAGGGGAATCGTCGCGCACCCTTCGAAGGAAAACAGTGTGGAGGGCAAGAAAGAGGGTGGCAAATAACGACAGATAAAGAAAGAGGTGGGGGTGACGTCACCGACGGGCGTCCGTTGGGCTAGGTCGCGACGCGGCCTCCCTACATTCCCTCCCTTCGTCCCTCCTTCGTAGCGCGCGTACCCCCAGCCTTTGAGCCCACCCACCCCCTCTAGCATCTAGCAGCTACCTCTCTCTCCACCCTCGGCGGCCGTCGTGCCGAAAAAAGCAAGGCTCGCAGAAAGGACGCCCGGCGTCGTGGCGCTCTTTGGCTGATCAATACACGCTGCCTCGTACGCGGACGGACGGTCACGCATGTGCACGGTGTGGGCCTCTCTTTTCTCTCTGTCTCTCACCCACTCTCTCCCCCTCGTCTTTCTCTTTTCATCCTGGATTTTTCTCCTTTTCACTCCCCCAGCCATCCACTTTTCCTGCCCTGCGTCTCTCTATCTTCGTCCTGTTCTCGTAAACCTCCCCCCTGCCCCCGTTCTCTTCCTTGTCCTTGCTTCTTCGTCTTCTTTTTGCACCACTTCCACCCCCTCCTGCCCCCGATCCTTCTAACCCCCTCCCCTCCCGCTCTCGCCTATCTCCCCCTTCCAGCGACTGGACACCGAGGACCGCGTGACTCTTCTTCTTTCGAGGGGCTTCATTTAGGGGCTGGAATTTCTTAACTTCGCTTGCAGGAGGAGGGAATGAGTTATGTAGGTACTGAAGAAACTAAGGTGCTAATTGTCAAGTTTTAGTAATTCGATCGTGGTGTTAAGTTAATCCTGCATTTTTCTGGGTTTAACGTTTAAGAATCGAAGGACTTAGTGGAGGGAAACAAGCACATGCCACGGTACTATACATTTATACAACTACCTACTTTTGAGAAAAAGACGATTAAAGTTTGTTGATGGCACAAGAAACTAAAAATTTTCCACTGAACTTCTCAATTCTACAGTCTTGATTAATATTCGTAAATACACGTTTTTTTGTCTCGCCCGTTCACCCCTGTTTACAGTACTGGTCTTATAGTGCACCTACGTCTTCGACTTAGTTCTTCCCCAATATATTTTCATACGTACCGCCCCCACTCTTATTTTCCTTCTCTTGCACCCCCCTTGTTCGATCCTTCTACCCCCTCCGTGTCTATGTTTCCGCCCCTCGTTCCCCGGCCGCGCTTCTCCTTCCCAGAGACTGGCCGATTTTTTCCTCCCGTTTCCTCGGCTCCGATATTTTTTTTTACACCTTTTTTCCCTCCCCCTGACGGTCGGTTCACCCCCCTTCCCCTGATGCACCCCCGTAGCCCAGGCAGCAGCCTCGAGCGCCCTCCTTCTCTCTGTCTCTTTTCTCTTCTTTTTCGTCCTCCTTTCTTGCT